CGTCTGTGAGCCTCAGTTTCCACATCTACAGGATGGGAGTCCCATTCCCACCTTCTGAGGTTGCTGTGAGGATTAAAGGGGACACACACAGAACGCAGAGCAGTGCTCAACAATTCTATTCCCCTTCCTCCCTTGGCTCTTGGACAAGGCCCCCAAGCTTGTGGTGGCCTGTGCTCTAAAATGGAACTGAAAATAACCCCGCCCTGTCCTGTCTAATAAAGTTAAACTTGCATCTACTTATGACCCAGCAACTCCACTCCTAGGTGTGTACCCGAGGGAAATGAACACATGTGTCCATTTGTATGCTAATGGTCACAGCAGCTTTATTCATAAGATCCCCAACCTGGAGACAGCCCAAATGTCCATCAGTGGGAGAGCGGATAAACAGATAGTGGTGTATTTATACAATAGGGTACTACTCAGCAATAAACATGAACAAATGGCTGATACATACAACATGGATGAATGTCACAGGCATTAGGTTGAATCAAAGGAGACAGTTATATAAGAGGACATACTGTATAATTCTGATTTATTGACCAGCCTAGAGTAGGTAACACTAACCTGCCGTGATAGAAATCGGGTCAGTGGTTGCGTGGGGTGAGTGGGAGGAGGACTGACTGCAAGGGGCACGAGGGAACTTGGGGAGTGATAGAAATCTTTTATCTTGTGGCTGGGATGGTGGTTACATGGATGTCTATATTTGGCAGGACTCATGGAAATATAGCTTCAAATCTGTGTGCTTTACTGTATTTAAATTATACCTCAATAAAACGATTGAAACTAACGGAGGAACGAACATAGACACAAACAAACAGCCCTGCCCCAGGCATGCCTAGCCATTACAAAAATGTCAATAATCTTTGCTCTAACAATTCTACTTCTAGGAATTGACCCTAAGAATAATTACAGATGTGTGCTGCGATGTGCCAGTAGGAATGGTCAGCGTAGCATTCTTTGTAACAGTACAAACCCAAACCGGTCACACTCTAAATGCGGGTCTGATGACAGCAGAGAGCTACGATGCAAAGCCAGCAGCCATTCAAACATTACCCTGAAAAACAGGTCCTTCACAGTGAAGAAACCCAGCACACAGCACATCCACCAAGTGATCAAGGTTAACGCCCCCAGTCATAAATCAAATGGACAACCTAAACCCCCTGGTAGGATGCACTGGGAAGGAAACAGCATCACTTCTGATAAAAAAACAAACTCAGAACCTCAATAGAATCATGAGGAAACAAGAGACAAATCCAAATTGAGGGACATTCTGCAGAGTAACCGTCCAGCCTCTTCAAAAGTGTCAAGGTCACAAAAGACCAAGAAAAGACCAAGGAACTGGCAGATGGAAGAGGATTAAGGAGACAAAATAAATGCAACATGGGATCTTGGATTTGATCCTGGAGTTAGGAAAACACATGAGACAGTTGGTAACATCTGAGTAAGGTCTGCAGTTTAGTTAATAGTAACGGTCCCCATGCAAATTTCCTGGCGTTGCTAACTGTAACCTGGTTCTATTACATGTGAATGTTAGGGGAAGCTGGGCAAGGGATATAACAACTCTACTACCTTTGCAACTTTCAAGTCTAAAAGTATTTCAAAATAAAAAAGAAGTCATCCTGGCCACGAATATCTATTGATTCAGGGAAACGCTCATAGAGTTCTAAGTAGAAAAAGTACGGTATGCAGAAACACTCATTTTCCTTGTGTTTTTCTGTCTTCTCCATTTTTTGTTTCGTGCTGAGCATGTGATAGATTTAAATGAGAGGGGGGAGAAAAGGTTATAAAAACATGTTGTGTATCCAGCTAATGGACGGTGTGCAGGGTGTGAACGAGACTTTATGGCCACCCTGTTAAATTCTGTCCTGATGGGCTGGGCACTGGATACACGCGGAAGGGGACCCCTTGAAACGGATGTGCCTGCTTCTGCTAAGGACCAAGGAAGGGCATCTCTGTGACTGTTTGGCTGCCTCCCTATTGCGAGGTCATTTTCTTGGGGGGCTCCTTTCCCCCTCTGGACTCCCACCAGCCCCTGACTCCCAGAAACATCCTCTGGAGGGGAATATGGGTTTCCCTCTAGAGCCTGTGGGAGGTTGGTGGTGACCACGGAGCAGAGATGTGGGGCAGGGCCATCATGTCTGACATGCCAAAGGTGCGATGGATGTTGGAGCAATGGCGCAGGAGCCCAGGGACGCCTAGGGCTGCCCATGCCCTGACAGCAGGCTCCAGGCTCTGCAGAATACCCAGGCTGTGAGCTCTGCTTTCCTGCACCACCAACCTCAGCTGCCCCATGCCCCGCTCAGTGCTCTCAACTACCCCATGTTACATCTCATTCTGGACCAACAGCCCAGTCTCTCCCGACTTCCAACCTTAACTTGCTTGTATCACTTCTCCTTGAACCTCCAAAGAACTCTCCTTTCTTCCTACTTCTCTGCCTTCCATCCATTCATGCGTCCCTCCCTTCCTCCCTCCCTCTCTCCCTTCCTCCCTCCTTTCCCTTCTTCCCTCCCTTCCTCTGTTCCTTCCATTATTGATGATGGGGACTCCAATACATCCTCAGAATTTCAGAGCAGGCTCAGGTACCAGCATCTTGGCCCTTCTGTCAGTGACTTCTCTATATAGACCCAGCTCTTCCTCTGCAGATGGCATACTGGTCCCCTGTTCTTTGCCGAGCTAACACGTGTTCCTCTTTTGGGTCTCAGCCATGAGAAGCCTTTCCCAGCTCCTTAATTAAATTAGGTGCTCTTATTACACCCTTAAATCACTCCTTTAGAGTGCTTTTCACAATATTTAAAAATTGATTTTCCTATCTGTCTTTCCCACTGGACCATGAGCCCCATAATGGTAAAGTTAACCTGGCTCCTAGTTGTATCCCCAACATCTAACACATAGTAGGTGCTCATTTAGTAACTGGGGACCTCTGAAGCTGAAGATCCTACCCTCAGTACTCACATCAACCTCCTAGAGCAGTGGTTCTCAACCTTCCTAATGCCGCGACCCTTTAATACACCTCATGGTGTGGTGACCACCAACCATAAAATTATTTTCGTTGCTACTTCATAACTGTAATTTTGCTACTGTTATAAATCGTAATGTAAATATCTAATATGCAGGATGTATTTTCATTGTTACAAATTGAACATAATTAAAGCATAGTGATTAATCACAAAACAGTATGTAATTATATATGTGTTTTCCGATGGTCTTAGGCGACCCCTGTGAAAGGGTCGTTCCACCCCCAAAGGGGTCGCGACCCACAGGTTGAGAACCATTGTCCTAGAGTTTGCTGATGAAGAAGGAGAGTTGGAACATCAAAGAGAGAATGTCTCTTTATAAGCCAGCAGCAATGTCACAGAAAGTAAAGGGAGTGACTGCCTGTGTAGCATCATGCTGAAGGTAGCAATTAGCTGCCGGGGGCGGGGTGGGGTGGGGGGACACTTGAAAAAGGAGATAAAACCACTGGGGAAAACTGGGCATATCCCAGTGAAACCATCTCTCCCTAATTAAGCAGTTTTATAATTCCAGGTTTCTGAAGAATGTTATTTCTGATGACCACCAAATGGAATGTGTGGTCCCCGGGGTGTCTGAGAACAAGGAAAGCAATCCGATTAGGAGCTGCCTGGCCTCCCGGCCACCCGTGAAGGGGGAATGAGGCTGGGGCACCCAGAGTTCTCTACACGCTGGGGTTCTGATGAAGGGGGCGGGAGCAGTCACGGCAGAAGGCAGATTCTATCCTGACTTCCTCACTGCTAGCTTGGGGGGTGGGACAAAAAGTGAAACGGGAAACAAGGAAATAACAGGGGGCTGACTCTGGAAGCGGTGGTACATGAACGAGAGTGTGATGCTGAGAAACAGACAAAATGAACAGAGAAGGAGGATTTTTGAGAATGCACCTTCATGGGAAAGATGATTTGAAGTATGGGGGTGAGGAGCCAGGGAAGGGGGGAGACATAATCAGATCGTTGCTAGCCAAGTGAATGGATAAAGAATGGAAAGACAGGAAGGGAATATTATTTCCGCATCAAGATTAACAATGAATATTTACATAGCTTTGCCTGCATCTAGATGCCATTTTAGTCTTTCTATCTCTCCTTCTTGCCTGCATCTCTCAGCTCAGGTTGTCTCTGCTCCGTTTCCTGTCTAAGCTTCATTCTCTCCTGCCAAGGGCAGGCGCTCTCCTGGTCACAATCATGATGGTGATGATAACGTACTGTGTGCTAGGCACCACTCTGCGCTCAGCACTTTGAGGAAGTGCTATTAATGCTTCCATTTTACAGATGAGCAAACCGAGGCACCAGACGGCAGGTAACCTGTCCCAGGTGACACGGCTAAAAAGTGCTGGATCCACCTATATGTGGCAGGAAAGATGACCACTGGCAAGCCTCAAGCCAACACCC